GCGATCGCTGGGTTCGGATCACGGGGGCTTTGCGTCGGTTGCTGCGTCGCTGACTTTTGGGTTTTTCGAGGTTCACGGACGCATCGTCTCTCGGTTGGGGCTTTGTGACCAGTGCTCACCAGGCCGGCCAGGGACGGTGGGGTTCGTCCTTCAATCAAACCCACAGCACTGTGCGGGAGTTCGCGGGGGTGTGGTTTGCTCTTCAGAGGCTTCGAGTCGCCTACGGGTCAACGATCCGGCTCCATTCGAACTGCTTCCCGGTGGTTCATTGTCTGAACCATGGGGGGGGGGGGGGTTTCGATGCGGTCCTTGGCTCTTTGGCGCTGGTCGCTTCGGGTGACTCGTCTGCAAAGTTCTCGGGGTTTGGCTCTCCTGGCAGTTCAAGTGCGAGGGAGTGTCCAATGTCTTGGCCGACAGCCTGTCTCATTTCGTTCCCCTCTCCACGGAATGGACGGTCGATGCCAACTCCTTCCGTAGCCTTTGCCAGTTGTTCGGACGCCCCAAGGTGGACCTCTTTGCATCGGCGTGGTCGCGGCGCCTTCCCTTGTATGTGGCACCCTTTCTCAACTGCGAGGCCATCGGGGTCAACGCCTTTCGGCAGGACTGGTCGAGGTGGGGGTTCCTGTACCTCTTTTTCCTGGTTTAGCTGTTGCTCCAGGTCCTGACTCGCTTGGAGACTTACCAGGGGAGAGTTGTCCTCTTGGCCCCTTGGTCATGGACAGCGCCTGAAACCATGGCTTGGTCCTAGCCATTGTTTCAGGCGCTGCTTGCTCGGTGTCTGAACCCAGAGGTTTTTCCATGGCTCCGCCTCTTCCAGCAGATCGGATCGGTACATCACGTGGATGGTTCGATCTTCTCCTCGAGTCTTCGCGTATGGTATTTTTTACTCGAGTTTATCATCATCTTTATGGTGATCAGTTGGCTTCCTTATTAGTGTCCCACCTGTGGGCTTCGTCTCGGCGGCAGAATGAAGTTTCCTGGCGGTCCTTCCGGTTCTTCTTACGTCTTCGTCATTGTACTTCGCTATCTGTTAGGGTGGTGCTGTCCTTTCTCTCTTGGTTGTTCCAGGACTGTCTCCTTATGCCTAACACTGTCGCCTTGTATTGTGCAGCACTGGCGGAGCCGCTTCAGCTTGCTTTCGGAATTGATGTCACGTCTGCGCCATTTTGCAAGCTGTCTTGCGAAATGTCTTGTGAAACCTTGTTTCACCTCTGGCCTGCTCATGCGCCGCCTGAGCCGTCCTGGTCATTGGACAGAGTGCTCTCTTTTCTTTCTTCTCCTCGCTTTGTTGTGGCTCCTTCGGTTCCGGATTATTTTTCGAGGGCTCTTTTCCTGTTGGCATTGGCCTCTGGGGGTCGGGTAGGTGAGCTTCATGCTCTCCTCCGGAGCAGAGGTTTCTGCTCCAACAGTTGGAGTAATCGGTTTGTTCGTCTGCAGCGTTCTCCTTCTTTCAGGATAAGAATGACACTGCTGCTTTCCAGAGGGGTTCCTGGGTTGTTGATGCTTGGTTGGTAAGGCCGGAGGTGCATCGTGTTTTGCGTCCGGTTGCGGCTCTCCGCCATTATTTGTGGGCCACGGCTTCTGTGTCCGTTGACGCGCTTTGAGTTGATCCGATTTCCTTTCTTCCCTGTTTGAGGGTGCGGGTCTCCCAGGTCGTTCACAGGGTTATTAGGGCTAGCCAGCCTGCGGTCCATCCCCATGCCCATGACGTTCGCAAGTTCGCAGCTCTTGCCACCGTTTTTGGCAATATGTCCTAGGCTGACATTCAGGAGCGGGGATTTTGGCAGTCGAACAGGTTCCTGGCTGCTCGTTACCTTGTAAACGTTCCTGGGCCCAGTCGGGCCTGTGTCGCTTTGGGTCGGCGGATGCAGCCAGTTGCCTCAACTTTGGGTTGAGGAGTGAGCAGCAACCGCCTCCCGGGTAAGTCCCTATTCTTTCCCTCTATGGGTAGTTAGCTCCGGGGAGCCATAAGGGCTCGCCCCAGAAAACCAGCGCTGAATGTAATGAAACGCCATTTTCTGGGCGAGTCCCGGAGGCTCCCCGGCATCCCTCCCTCTCTCCAGTTGGCATTTTTTTTCGCAAGTTTTGACATCCAGTCTCAGAAGTGGGGTGTGGATCGCCAGCGCAGTGGGTCTGGGGCTACCCCTTTCTCCTCCCGGGGAGGGGGGAGCTGCACAGACAGTGGCGCGACGACAGGTGACATCATACTAGTTTGCTCGTGTTTGTTTGGGGAGTTCTATCCACTCGTTCGGCTTTTGGTTGCAATTTTCACCAGAATAGAGGTTTGTTTTGGGACGCCTACCTTTCTGGGTGCCTAACCCAGTCGATGGCAGACATAGAATGCTTCCAATCACACGGGGGTTTCTATAGGCCATTGCTCCCCTTGCCTCTCTAGAGGGGGCCAGGTTCTGTCTCATGGTCCCTGGTAGGCCCATAAGAACTCCATACACATGACTGATGCCAAAGTCTGACATTAGCATATCAGCCTAGTAAGCTCCGGGGAGCCTCCAGGACTCACCCAGAAAATGGCGTTTCATTACATTCAACACTGTTTTTTTTACATTTTTAAGCGATGCTGTGTTCACAAGCTGAACAACAGTGCTGTTAGCTTCATGCTGTGTGCACCAGCCTTGGTTGCTCACATAGTGCTTAGGCCTTCACACCCAGGAATATTACCCATGATTTTTAATTTTTTTTTGGGTAAGTGCAGTCTGTTTACTGGAGCTCTGAGGAAGCTGATGTGAAGCCTGTGTAGCCACAGGACTTTTAAATCTTATGTAGTACTTTAAAAAGTACATACACAATAAATTGTATATATACAATTATTGCCATTCTAGGGGTTAAATAACTTCACTGTACAATATTAATTTAAGTTATGCCTGAAGCACTTTGAATATTGGTGGCCTTATACACTTATACAAAGTACATACTTTGAATATTGCTATATAATATTCTTATGTGTATTTTTTAAATAAATTATAATTATTATTATTATTATTATAAAATAGAAAGGTTGCAAAGTCATTCTACTAAATTGCTCCCAGAAGTTAAGAATATGAGTTACACGGAGAGGCTGGAAGTAATAAACATGGCAAGGCTGGAAGATAACAGGAGAAGAGGAGATATTATCACTATGAACAAAACAGTAAAAGAAATTGATAAGAAGTAATTTTGAAACCTGCAACTTCAAGAACAAGACAAAATATATTGATTTAAATTATGGAAATAAAGGTTCTGATAAAATATAAGAGAATTTCTCTTTTAGAGAGTTGAAGAAAGTTGGAACAATTAACCCTTAAACTGCGCATGGCGTATATATACGCCCTGAGTAACGTCCCACGGTGCGCATGGCGTATATATATGCCATAGGGTGCCAGGCCCGATTCAAATGGCCCGCGGCTACACGGGGTTCACAGTAGCTTCCTCAGGGCTCTTGTAAACAGACGCCATTTTTTTTTTAAATCGTGGGCAATATTCTCAGGTGTGAGAGGCACAGTACTGTTGGAGCAACCAAGGCTGGCGCACGCAGCATGAGCGAACAGCATTGCTGTTCAGCTTGTGACCACAGCATCGCCGAAAAATGTCAAAATAAATATATAATTGTTATTATTTAGCGATGACAATATTACAGATGACCCATGACTGTGATATAAATAACCAGGGTTGTGATAATAGCAGGATTGTTGTAATAATTAACGCTGTGGGAGGAGTGATGCTGAGACACGGAGGGAGACAGCATCATTTACTGACTGTGTGGCTAGCTGTTATTGTTTGCATTCACCATACCAGGTCAGTGGTTCTCTCTGGTGAACACAAATGTAGATATTTATATATAATGTGTGTATTAGTGTAATAACAGCAAAAGGATTATGCTGGGAGGAGCCATATGGGTGACGGAGATGATGTCGTCAGCACGATTTGTCTAGCTGTTTAGAGGGTGGCCACTATGCTCTTTGGGTGCACTACAAACTTAGGTGTACAGTTACGGTGCATAAAACATGTAGATACTTATATATAATATGTGTATATAGGGTAATAACACTGCAAACAGTATTGTTGGGGGAGAAAGTTTAGTGCGTGTGACCTTGAATGAGTGAGGGAGCCGCCAGCCGCCATCTGTGTATAGCGACGACTCTTAGTGCCTGAACTAACTATATCAGCTTAGCTGTACAGTTGTGGTGAACAAAACATATACATACTTATATATAACGTCTGTATATAGTGTAATAATACCACAAATGGTATTGTTGGGGAAGAAAGTTTAGTGCGTGTGTTGAGGGAGTGGCAGCGAGTGGCTAGCTGGTGTGTGGCGGTAACTCCTCGTTGCTTTTCGACTCTCAATACCAACTTAGTGGTTCGTTACGGTGACCAAAACATGCAGATACTTATATATAACCTGCGTATAGAGTGTAATAGCTGCAAAACTATTTGTTTATTGTTTTATAAACATAATAATTGAATCACTAATATGCACATCATACTTTTGAGTATAGCGATTATTCACCACTTTTATTATATAAATATATTACAATACACACTATTGAATAATATTACTGTAAAAAAACTAAGGAAAAATCAATCGGAGACATTGAAACAATTAGGTAATAATATCTTTGTGGCAACTCCCACCTGTCAGCGAGGGTGACGCTGACCGGGTCAGACGACTGCTCTGTCAACGCCCACTTTTTGCCAGACTTCCTCGGTCAATTGCGCCCAAAATATGTCACCTACGATTTATTTTTTATTTTTCCCGTGCTCAGGGGACACAAATTAACATGTTTAGAAGACGAAAAAAAAATGTTGAATTTTTTTTTCTTGCGCACAGGGGTGTAAATGTCCCCAGGACCTCTGAGCAGTGTAAGGGTTAAAGTGAGAAGGTGGTGGATGCCAAAATCATTTGTAGTTTCAAAGCATCATATGATAAAGAGTAATATTGAGATGGATCACCATGAACATACCTCTCATTCTGCAACTGCAAATTAGGTAATTACAATGCTCACCTTGGTCTGTTGTGATCAGGAAGTTGGGGCTTGATGTCTGGTGAAGTGGTTGATGGTGAAGCAGGTCGCTCTCTCTCTGAAGACTCAGATGCTAAAAGACTTGGACGATTTCTTCCTCCTCCACGTGCCCGACGAGCAAAAGACCGGTCCAGGGAACCATAGCCCTCCGCTAAAGAAAGCAACAATGTGAGTTTGTTGCTTAATAGTTCTGATTACTTGATACTTTATCTTATTAATATAGATATAATTTTTAGATTATATATATACTTTTATATTTTAATGTTAATATAAAAGTGTACTCTGTGGAGAACCAACTTTCAGATATTTCTTCATACTTTTGACATTTATGATGAAAAAATTGAGAATTACTGGAATGTGTTGAATAATTAACACTTTCACACTCCCTGCATGCGCTCCTCAATCTTAGAGGTCAAGCTCCCGGTGTGCAGGTGAGCTCTTGGCGACACCGAAATGAATATACTCATTTCAGTTTTCTCACCCTAATTCTCGTGCTACGTCGTTCGTTTTGGTATCATTGTGTTCGCAATAGAATTCCCTGCAGGTGCATATGCATATAATGTTCAAAATCCCTGTGTGACTCTCAACAGCAAAGCTTAAAGTCGGCAAAAGTTACCCGTGAGCGCACAAAATCAGTAAAATGTGTACTGATTACTTGATACTTTATCTTATTAATATAGATATAATTTTTAGATTATATACATACTTTTATATTTTAATGTTAATATAAAAGTGTACTCTGTGGAGAACCAACTTTCAGATATTTCTTCATACTTTTGACATTTATGATGAAAAAATTTAATTTCAGTTATGATGAAAATGATGATGTCAGTCATTTATGATGAAAAAAATGTCATTTCAGTTTTCTCACCCTAATTCTCGTGCTACGTCATTCGTTTTGGTATCATTGTGTTTACAATGAAATTCCCTGCAGGTGATTATGCATATAATGTCCAAAAGCCCGGCGTGACTCCCTACAGCAAAGCCTAAATTTACCCGTGAATAAGCACCAATTTGCACACAGCAGCCTAATGTGTATACCTGATCAGTTTGATAACATCAATTTTCGTCTTACGTCTTTCATTTTGGTATCAAATTGTTTGCAATATAAAGTCGCGTATTTTAAAACTAGTCCCATAATAATAGAGCAATAACTGGACTTTTAACAAATATTTTAAGTTTGGACGCTCATCATATTTTCAATCTTGTAAAGGTTGATGAAAATCATCACGTCAAATCATCATGATGATTTGTGATGTCAAATCATCATCATGATGATTTGATGAGTTGTGATGTGATGCCATGTCACATCACATCAAATCATTATCATGATTGTGACAAAATCATCACAAAATTATTTATATCTTTCCAGTGATCTAACATAAATTTTCATGTTACATCTTTCATTTTGATATCAAATTGTTTGCAATCAAAAGGCACGCATTTTAAAACTAGTCCCATAATAATAGCACAATAAATAGAATTTTAACAAATATTTTAAAATTTTGCCAAAAAACCAGCGTTGAATGTAATGAAACGCCATTTTCTGGGTGAGCCCCGGAGGCTCCCTGGAGCTTATCGGGCTAATGTATGTTATATTAGACCGGGACATTAGCTAAGGAGTACAGACCTACCAGGGGACCAATGCCAGAACCTGGCCCCTTCAGAGAGGTTTCAGGGAGCAATGGCCCTGGAAAACCCCATATGGTTGGGGGTTTTCCTTATCTGCCATCGACCGGGGTTAGGCACCCAGAAAGGTAGGCGTAACAAAACAAACCCCACATGGTAAGAAACTACAACAAAAACCGAACAGAGAGGTAGAAAACTCCCTACAATCCCAAGGAAACTAGCAAACAAGCAAACATCACACTTTACTGCCGCGCCGATCGTCCGCGCAGCCCTCCCCGCCTCGGGAGGGGGAGGGGGGAGCCCCGGACCTACCGCGCCGGATGCCAAGCTCCAGTTCTGAAGCTAAGCTTCAACCAACGCGAAAAAACCGCCGACCGGTGGGAGGGAGGGTTTCCAGGGAGCCTCCGGGGCTCACCCAGAAAATGGCGTTTCATTACATTCAACGCTGGTTTTCTGTGGGGAGCCCCTACGGCTCCCTGGAGCTTCATACCCAATGAGATGGAAAAGAAAGGGCTAACCCGGGAGGCGGCCGCCACAAACTCTGCAACGCAAAGCCAAGACAACCGGTCGCAAACCTGCGACCCAAGGCAACAAGAACGCCCAAGAGCAGATGCGCACAAGGATGGGCGGCCAAGAACCTGTGCGACCCACAACTCCCTGCGCCCGAAATGAGCCCGAGACGTCACCAACACAGCGGCAAAAGCTGCAAACCTCAGAACAGCACGGGCGCAAAGACAGACCGCAGGCTGGAAGAATGAAAACACTGAGGACGACCTGGGAGACCCGAGCCCTGAAAACAGGGAACGAAGGAACCGGATCAACCACAGCGCATCCCCAGACACAGTACGCCGGCAACAGCAAAAAGCACAACCGGACAACACAGGACGCACCCCCCGGCCAAACCAATCAAGTACCAATACCCCAAGAACCCCTCCGGAAAGCAGCCGTCTCGACCGTCGCCAGGACAGAGAAAGGCTGCACACCTATAAAGCTACCACCAGTACCAAAGAGCAGGAAACTGAACCGAAGGGGCTACCACAAACTGAGGGGAAGATAAGAAGGCACCCTGAACAAGGACCAGGATGGCTCAGGCGACGCATGAGCAGGCCGGAGGGGAAACAAAACACGAGAAAACGTATGAAACGTCATACTGTCGCCAAGACGAAGCTCGCAGGTGGGACACCGTCAACAAAGCCACCTGAACACCATAGAGATGGTGATACCCGCGTCAAAATACCAGACGCGAAGAGCCTAGAAGAAGGCCGAACCAGTCACGGACAGGACCGATTCGGCCTGCTGAAAGAGGCGGAGCCTTAGGAAAAACGCCCCGGGTACGGACACCTATCAAGCAGCGCCTGAAATGAAGGCCAGGCCGGCCACCATGGAACCATAAGGACTGTTCTCGTGGGAATGGGCTGCAACCGAGCCAGAATCCGAAGCAACAGCTGGACCGGGAGAAGAGGAACAGGTACCCCCCACCTCGACCAGTCCCGCCGAAAGCATCCACCGTGAAGTCATCGCAGGTGGGAAAGGGCGCCACAAAATGGGCGACGCCTAGACCACGCTGACCCGAAGACGTCCATGGCCAGGAGTCCATACGCCCGACAGAGCCAACAAAACGAATCGGCGACAACTGGCCAACGCACGAAGAGGAATGAATCGAGACAGCTGTCCGCCAGGACGCAGGGCACACCCCGGACACGAACCTCACGGTTAGCCAAACCCCTGTGGCTCCGGCAAGAACCACCAGAGAACAGTCCGAACAGAGCTGAATGATAGAGTACCTAGTGACCCAAACCCTCCGAAGCGCAAACCAGACAGCCATGAACACCCGAACCGTGCTGTGAGCCCGACGGACAGACAGACTCCATCAACCTCGGCCGACCTGGTGAGCACTGGTCACAAAGCCCCAGCCGAGAGACCCGTCCGTGAACACATCGAGCGAAGGCTCGGGGAGGTGCCAAGGCACGGAACCCCAAAAACCCCAAAGAGGAAGCTGGTGATGCAGCACCAACACAAGATTCCCGGAGGAACCCAATGAAAGCAAGAGGCGGAAGGGGAGTCTCCGCAGGAACCAACAGACGCCGTAGCCAAACCCGACTCCGAGGGCTGACAAGCACTCCGAAGTGCAGACTCCCGCACAACCGCCCCAGCAACCGCTGAGCAACCCGGGACCCCTCCTGAACAGCCGAAGGCGGGATTACAGCCGCAGTAACACTTCTGGAGGGAAGACAATGAGGGGCCCAAGAGCCTTAAACAAGGCCCAGGTCCAAACCCGAGACGGAAACAGATGGAAAAACCTCCAGATCACCAGGAAACCAAACCCGGCGATCCGGAAAGAACCACCCCCTGGCGAGCAGACAAGCGGACTGACTGGGAGCCCACACCAGCCAGTCGTCGAGGTAGGCCAGACACCGAATCTCAGACTCAGACAGAGCACTAAGATCCGGTAAAGATGCAAAAAGTATACGAAGTGCCCCTTACAAAATAGGGAAGGCAATAAAAACAGCAAACCTGAAGCCCCACCACCAACCGTGCTAGTCCCAGAAAAACTGGAGAGGAACGAGCCAAGAAGTGACCTGGAGGTCCAGGGCCACCATCCATGCACCCGGACCCAACAGAATCCGAACAGGAGACAACAGTCCTCTGAGGAGAGCATAGGATCCAGGGCGCAGACTGAAGAAGTCCAGAAGAACTGCAGACGGGAAAAGCTCATGACTGCAAAGAGCAGACGGAAACCCCAGAAGGATGGGGCGGATCGACCACGCCCCACGAAGAGGAAAAGACGAAGCGCAGGGGAAGAAGCCCACCCCGCCAGCTCTGAACCCCCCCAAGGGGGAGAAGCCGTCCTCCGATGCCAGCAGACGCCGGAAGACAACCCAAAGCGCCCACCAACAGCGGGACCATGCGAGAGGCAACAGAGCAAGCTGCTCCCCCAGCTCCCAGTCAACAGAGAAAGGAACAGAACCCCTTCCGAAAGAAAAAGTACACTACCTAAGTCATGAGAAGAGACTACGGGAATTAAACCACACTTCGCCGGAAGACGAAGAGTGAGGGGAGACCTGATCACCACATTCAAGATACCCAAGGGAATCGACAGGGTTGATAAGGACAGGCTATGTAACACAAGGGGCACACGTACTAGGGGACACAGGCGGAAACTGAGTACCCAAAAGAGCCACAGATATTTTTTTTTTTTTTTTTTTTTTTTTTTTTTTTTTTTTTTTTTTTTAGTGTCAGAACGGTAACGGGAAAGCACTAGGAAGTAATGTGGAGACTCCACACACAAGTAACGAGGCTGACCCCCATACAATGTCACATGTAGACATGATAGAGCCCAATAGGCACAGAAACCTATACACCTATAATTACCTATACAGAATTATTAATTATACAGAACTATACAGAATTATAATAGAACCTATACAGAATTATTAAATAAAATAATTACCTGTTAGACGGTTGAGAGGCGGGACCAAAGAGCCAGAGCTCAACACCCACAAGCACAACTAGGTGAGGACATATTTTGTAAAAGTACAAGTCGCCGACTAGTGGGCAGAGAGCACCACGCCGGCCAGGCAAAGAAGGCACAAAACAGCATCAAAAGGCCCACCTCGACAGCAAAACCGCAAAGTCCCAGCACAACCACAACATGTGCCAAGACCCAAAAAGATCAGTCTGCAAGCCAGGAAGACCCCGGAACCTCAGAAGGCAGAACCGGGTCACACGAGGAAACAAAGTCCCCTGAACCCACAAAAGGGGGCCCAAGAGGAAGAAACCTCCAGAACGAAACCAAGGAACCCAAAGGAACCCAGAATCGAACCAGGGGGAGCCCAAACCACCACATTTGCCGGCGGAGTACACCACTGAAAGTCAAAGCACAGCCCCCAGCAGAACCCCCTAGGAAAACGGTCCCAACAGACCGAAAACCGAGGGACAAGGTGTGGGAGCAAGCATACCAGCCAGAGGCACTGAGCCTAAACCCAAAGGCTCAGACCCGAAACAGAAAAATTGGAAAAACCCGTTGTAAAATCAACACCCAAACGTTCCCAGAGGAAAAGGCAACGGCAAGAAAACACCAGAAAAACAAAGAAACGACAACAGGAGAACAAAAACCCTGAAAAATTTTGAAAACTCACCCGAGACGCTCGCTCGCACACCCAGACGCATGTAAACAAACCGCAACGCTGCCCTAGTGGCCACGCCGTGAAACCGGCAGACGAAAATGGCCGCCAGCAGGGGCTGTGACTGACGCTAAATACACAAAAACACGCCAGCAAATGTGGGAAGCTAGCAGACTGGATGGGCGAAAAACGTCGCCCAACAGCAGAAAAAAAACCCCGGCAGGGGCAAAACCGCCCCAGAACTGCTAGCAGGCAACCCCCACAGCCCCGGGAACCAACAACAGAGACCCCGGGGCAGAGCCGTCCTCCAAGCCCTCTGCCCTTAAAGAAAAGCAAGAGTCCATGGGAAAGGCAACAAGAAAGGGCCGCTGGTAAGACCCAGAAGCCTTGGCAGGAGGCACAGGCTCAAACCTCCGTCCCCAACCCGAACGGGGCAGCCCCCGAAAACTGCCCGAGTCTCTGCCGCAACTAAACCCCGCCCCGACCCCGAAACCCGCAGACGGTCCGGAGCCGGGAACATGGAGGGAAAGGGGCGAACAGCACCTAACCAAACGGGGCGGCCATGGGGCATTCGAGTGGGAAACCAACCTAGCATGTTGCAGCAACCTAACCTAGCTTGCAACACGGATGCCGCCTGTACTCTGAACAGTAATAACATCAGGAGAGTACTGGAGAACAAGCAGAGAATCTCTCGCAAGACTCCGGGTCAAGGTGTCAGTGACCCAACAGGCAGCATGACGGAGGTAAAAATGGCGACTGTCACCCGGAGACAAGGGCACAGCAACCAACGATCCCGTACAAGACGGGTTGGAACCCGGAAGACACATGCAATGTTCCCCCGAGCCCAGACAGGGGTTTCCAGGGCCCGTAGGGGTAACAACTACGGGAAGCCCGGGCAAGGTGTTGCTAACTGGTTAAGAAACCCAAACATAACAAGAGGGTAGATTATAGCACTGAAAACCCCTGAGACGTGTACAATCACGGGGGCCTAGCAGAGGGCCGCCAAACACTACCAGTGGAACTATAACCACCTTAGGCAGACCCCCACCAGGCATGAAAAATTAAAAACAAAAGAAAAACCCCGCAAAAGTACACGGTCTTCAGAGGCAACAGAAACCGGCCGCCGCTTAGGTGGCAAGCCGCGCAACACTTTGACGCCCTAACCAGCACAATACCAATCCCTACCCAGGGCCAAACAAGGGCCCCAAGCCCCAGCTGGCCCCAAGGGCGAGGCAAATGCCGAGCAGCAAGAACCTCTACGGGAATGGTTCCCGAACACCCCAGGGAAGATAACCCTAGTACGCAAGGGCAGTACTCACAGGGCGCTTAGGGAAGTCAGCCACTAAGCACATGCAGCCCCGGCACTGATGAAGTACTCCTGGCCACCGCACACCACAACACACGGCAGTGAACGCTACACAAGGCAAACACCGCCTAGGAAACTGAGGCCAGAGAAGCGTCTATCCCGGTTGACATTAGCGAACGAACTGGAGCTTGGCAGCCGGCGCGGTAGGTCTGGGGCTCCCTCCTCCCCCTCCCGGGGCGGGGAGGGCTGCGCGGACGATCGGCGCGGCAGTAAAGTGTGATGTTTGCTTGTTTGCTAGTTTCCTTGGGATTGTAGGGAGTTTTCTACCTCTCTGTTCGGTTTTTGTTGTAGTTTCTTACCATGTGGAGTTTGTTTTGTTACGCCTACCTTTCTGGGTGCCTAACCCCGGTCGATGGCAGATAAGGAAAACCCCCAACCATATGGGGTTTTCCAGGGCCATTGCTCCCTGAAACCTCTCTGAAGGGGCCAGGTTCTGGCATTGGTCCCTGGTAGGTCTGAACTCCTTAGCTAATGTCCCGGTTTAATATAACATACATTAGCCCGATAAGCTCCAGGGAGCCGTAGGGGCTCCCCACAGAAAACCAGCATTGAATGTAATGAAATGCCATTTTCTGGGTGAGCCCGGAAACCAGGCTGGTTTCCTTAAAAAATATTGTGAGTTTTTTCCTCCTGACAGCCTACGTAACGTGTTATACCTGCCCCAAGTGGACGTGTCCAATCCTGGTCAACCCATGTGCTCCCGCCCCTCATGTTATACCAGAGTGCTGCACCATTAGTGAAATATTTTTTTAAATAACTTTTTTTATTTACATAGTAACTTTGAAAATTTTTGGCCAAGACTATGTCTGGTAGCAGCATCAATCGTTCTGGAGGTGTTAAGAGGAAGAAGGTTGTCCTAACAATTAAAGACAAATTATGTGTTATACAACTTTGTGAAAATGGCCAGTCGACTTCAAGTGAAGTGAAGCCTGAGGCGAACCAAAGCACTGATCATACAACAGGCCAATGAACACAGGAGGCAAGCTAAACTTGATTCTTATATGGTAAGAAAATCAAGCCAAGTGCCTTCAACCGTGAGGCCTCACAGGCAAGCCAAGCGCCTTCAACAAGTGAGGCGTCACAGGCAAGCCAAGTGAGGCATCACAGGCAAGCCAAGTGAGGCATCACAGGCAAGCCAATTGAGGCATCACAGGCAAGCCAATTGAGGCATCACAGGCAAGCCAAGCGCCTTCAACAAGTGAGGCATCACAGGCAAGCTAAGTGAGGCGTCACAGGCAAGCCAAGCACCTTCAACAAGTGAGGTGTCACAGGCAAGCTAAGTGCCTTCAACAAGTGAGGCGTCACTAACAAGCCAAGTGAGGTGTCACAGGCAAGCCAAGCGCCTTCAACAAGTGAGGCATCACAGGCAAGCCAAGTGCCTTCAACCAGTGAGGCTGAGTAATTTTAAGTGTTAATTTTAGTGTTGTGTTAGTATAGGTTACGTAAATTGTAAAGAATTCTTAACTTCAAGATGTGTGGCATCAATCAAGAAGACGAACGACAACAAGGTAAGTTGATGTTTCTAGTTGAATATTTAATAATTATATGTGGCAAGGCAATTCAAATTATGTTGTTTGTAGTATAAAAATAGTTGGAAATGGTCACTTTTGAACTCAGAGGTGAAAAAGTACTATTATCCAGAACACGTGATTATCCGGCTGGGGGTCCTTCCCATACAGTCCGGATAATCGAGTGGAGACTAATGACATTTCTGGGGTACTCTCTCTCTCTCTCTCCTTCATTTTGCAGGGAAACCACTAGGACCTGGTTGTGGCTCACTGCTTGCTTGTCTTACTAAGAATCTGTCTAAAGACACTTGTTTTTCCCTACATTTTAACACTTTTCTGTAGTGAGACAGCACATTCATTCATTATGAATGATCTCTTGTTTTTCCTCTATCGTCTTCCTCACAACTATTTTCTTAGGTTGAACTTTACAAGTGATTTTCTTGGGACCCATGACATGATATAAAAATAATTACTTTTATGTTCAAAAAACAAAAAAGCACAAAATAATTAAATTCTTCACAAAGAATTCAAGTGCAATCGTCACTCAGCGGGAGACACTGGTAAACTGAAATGCGCCTCGCCAGTGCCACCAGGAACCAGGTGCTTGGTCGACCCAAATATGTATCAACAAACTCGCCAAGCGAGGCAAAGCTCGTATACCAAGTCAAATTTTACAAAGAAATTAAGCTTGTAAACTGAAAAATTTGTAAAGATGGGTTTTCATCAACTGAGGTTTCAGTGTACTGTACTTATAATATTTTACCAGTAAGTATGTATTTATTACAAATTTAATAGCTCCCCACCAATGCCAGACCAGGACTTCCTTTCTCTGGACCCATCATGACCAGCAGTGTGAAGGTAATCCATAAGTTTGTGGTCGTCTTCCTCTGAAGGAACCCTAGAACGTCTTCGCCGTAGACTGCCATTTGGTGTAACATCTGAAGGAAGATAAGAACTTTATAAATGGAGAAAAAAACAGCATTGAATGTAATGAAACGCTATTTTTTGGGTGAGTCCTGGAGGCTCCCCAGAGCTATCCGGGCTGATTAGGATAACCCTAACTTTGGCATCAGTCGATGTGGGTGGAGTTCTAGGCCTACCAGGGACCACAAGCCAGAACCTGGCCCCTTCATAGAGGCACGAGGAGCAATATCCTATAGAAATTCACATGTGATTTAGGAGCATTCTATATCTGTCATCGACCGGGACAGGCACCCAGAAATGTAAGCGCCTCAAAACAAACCCCCCTATTCTGGTTAATAACTCAACGAAAATAGACAAATGAGTGGACAGAACTCCCCAAGAGAAAACAAGCAAACAAGCATGATGTCACATGAGTCACACCGCATGTCAGCACAGCTCCCCTCTCCCCAGGAGGGGGAAGGGCGAGCCCCAGACCCCCCCCCCTGCGCCGGCAATCCACTGTAGTTCTGAGGCTAGATATCAAAATACGTGAAAACCGCAGACCAGAGGGAGGGAGGGAGGGTTGCTGGGAAAGCAGCAGTCTCATTCTTCGCCAGAGAAGGCGGAGACGGCTGCAGGCGAACAAACCTATCACCACCACCGAAAGAGTAAAAATCCATGCGCCGTTGGAGGGCATGAAGTTCCCCAACCCGACCCCCTAAGGCCAATGCCAACAGGAAAAAGAGTCTTCGAAAAACAATCCTGAACCGAAGGAGCCACAACAAACCGAGGAGAAGACGGATAGGAGAACACTGTCCAAAGACCAGGACGGCTCAGGCGGTGCGCGAGCAGGCAGGAGGTCAAACAACACACGAGACAGCATGCAAAATAGTGCAGAAGTAACATCAATACCGAAAGCAAGCTGAAGCGACTCTGCTAGCACCGCATGATAAGAGGCAACAGTATTCGGCATAAGATGATGGTCCTGGAACAACCACAAGAAAAAGGACGACACCCAAACCAAAAGTGAAGTACAAGGACGAAGAGTCGAAAAGAAACGGAAGGACCGCCAGGAAACTTCATACTGCCGTCGAGACGAAGTCCACAGGTGGGACACCATCAATGAAGCCACCTAATCACCTTACAAATGGTGATAAACTTGAGTAATAAATACCAAACACTAAGACTTGAGGAGAAGAGCGAACCAGTCTTGTAACATTCCGGGCCAATTTTCTGAAAGAGGCGGATCCGTCGAAAAACCTCCTAGGTCGGACACCAGGCAAGCAGCGCCTGAAACTACGGCTGGGCCGGCCGCCACGGGGCCAAAAGGACTACACTCCCTTAGTAAGTCTCCAAGCGAGCCAGGACCTGGAGCAACAGCTGAACCAGGGGAAGAAGAACAGGGAACCCCCACCTCGACTAGTCCTGTCGGAAGGCGTCGATCCCGACGGCCTCACAGTCGGGGAAGGGTGCCACATATACCGGAAGACGCCTTGACAACGCCGACGTGAAAGGTCCACCTCCGGGTGCCCGCACGTCTGGCAGAGTGTCTGAGTCGGCATCGACCGTCCATTCAGTGGACAGGGAAACGAACCGGGACAGGCCATCCACCAGGATGCTGGACACCCCCCAGACGTGAACAGCCAGGAGTGCCAAACTGCAAGAACTCAACAGACGAGTCACCTGAAGAGACCACCCCCAAAGGGCCAAGGACTGCATTGAACCCGCTCAGTTCAGGCAATGAACCACCGGGGAGCAGTCCAAATGGAGCCAGATCGTCGATCCGCTGGCGACCCAAACCCTCCGAAGTGCAAACCACACTGCCGCGAACTCCCGCACTGTGCTGTGGGTCTGACAGAAGGATGGACCCCACTGCCCCTGGCCGACCTGGTGAGCACTGGTCACAAAGTGCTAGTCTTGAGAGACGACATCCGTGAACACATCAAGCGAGGGCTCAGGTAGGCGCCAAAGCATGGAACCCCAAAAAACCAGAAGAGTAAGCCAGCGACGCAACAACCGACACAAGGCCCCCAGGAGTCGAACCCAGCGATCATGAGAAAGGCAGAAGGGACGTTCCCAAAGAACCAGAACAGCCAACAAAGCCAAACCCGACCCGATGGGTAGACCATCATCGCAAAGTTCAGGCTCCCGCGCAGACCCTCGAGCAACCGCTGGGTGACCCGGGAGCCCCCAGAAACAAGCGCATGCGGGACCGCAGCCGAAGGAGAGAGACTGGAGGAAGAGACAAGGAAGCGGTCCTAGTGTTCCACACAAGACCCAGCCAGGTCCGAACCTGGAAGGGAACCAGATGAGACTTCCGCCAGTTCACCAGGAACCCTAACCCGGCTAGCTGGGAAAGCACCAAACCCCTGGCAAGCACACACAAGGACCCACTGGGATCCCAAACCAGCCAGTTGTTGAGGTAAGCCAACACCCGAACACCTAACAGACACAGATGGGCCACCATTTCCCAGTTAAGGCGTGTGAACATGCGAGGTGCCAGGTTCAATCCAAAAGGGAGACAACAAAAGTGGTAACTCTGATGCCCGAAATGAAAACCGAGCCAGTCCCTGAGCCCTGGATGAATCTGGACATGCCAATACGCATCCTTGAGGTCCAGAGACACCATCCAAGCACCCAGCTCCAACAGAAGCCAGACCTGGGACAGAGTGGTCATCCAAAATGAGGGGCAAAAAAAACAGGGGTTTAGATGGGACAAGTCCAGAATGAACCGCAGGTCCACACAGTCCCGTTTCAAAACCGGAAACAGGCGGGAAACCCACCTGAAGGACGTCATCGTTTCGACCACGCCCAAGCACACCCAATCTAAGACAACCTAACAGAGCGCAGAAGAAGAGGCCTGCCCTGCCATCCCTGAACCCCCCGTCAGAGGAGGAGGAGCCATCCAACGCCACCGAAGGCCACGAGAAATGACCCAAAAAGCCCACGAATTGTGAGACCAGGCATAAGCAAACAGAGCAAACCTCCCCCCCCCCATCGTTCCATCAATGGGGCAAAACGTGAGAGGGCCGAGGCCCCTTACAAGAAGCCGCCCTGCGCACAGAGTGAGCACCGCACTGACCAGGAGCAGCCGAGACCGAAGGTGGCACCAGCTCAGAAACTGGCACCTGTGGCCGACCCTGACAAACAGAACCGTTGGTCCTGGCATGACCCCTCCAGGAGGAACCCATCCCCAGAGAACCCACCAGTCGGACATTGGGCGGCAGCTGGAGGAAGCCGCTTGTAAATATATTGTTCGACCGCAGAAGCCGCAAACAACAAAGGACATAAGGGAGAAGACGATCGAAGAACCAGGGCCCAAGCGAATTCCAAGGAAGAAGCGAGCACCACCTGCTGACACGTGAGGTGCGCCAGTTAAAAACCGCAACAGCGCACCCGGCAGGACCGACGCAAACAGCTTCAAAAGCGCAGACAACGCACAAGCAGCCAAGACCAAGGTGCCAGACCAGGAACAGACCTAAACACCTCCACATCCTCCACAAGCCAATCAGAAGACAGCTCAAGGAGAGAAAAGAAATGCAGGCCTGAAGCTAACGAACCCTGCACGCACAAGTCCTCAGCTACAAGCGCAGCTGGCAGGGAAGAAACCTGCACATGAACCTGAACCGTGCCAACATCCCGCAGAAGAGCCAGAGTGAAAAGGCACTCATTAAGGTGTGCAAAGTCATCCCCCAGGTAAACCTAGAACACAGTCAACGCCTCGTGCCACTTAAGCGTGCGAGTACAACAGAAGGGGTCCCAAGCATCCAGCGAAAACATTGGGCAGTCCGCCAGCCAGGACGGCTCCGGAACCTCGTAACGAACCCATGAGGGCCTCCAGCCGCGGCCTGGGACAACAACGTGTCAACTGTACAGCCTCTGGGACCCTCACCCTTAACCGTGCGATAAGTACTGACCATACAGTAGAACAAATAAACATATATATTGTTACAAATATACGGTATACATATAATATTATATATATATATATATATATGTCGTACCTAGTAGCCAGAACACACTTCTCAGCCTACTATGCAAGGCCCGATTTGCCTAATAAGCCAAGTTTTCCTGAATTAATATATTTTCTCTAATTTTTTTCTTATGAAATGACAAAGCTACCCATTTCATTATGTTTGAGGTCAATTTTTTTTTATTGGAGTTAAAATTAACGTAGATATATGACCGAACCTAACCAACCCTACCTAGCCTAACCTAACCTATCTTTATAGGTTAGGTTAGGTTAGGTTAGGTAGCCAAAAAAGTTAGGTTAGGTTAGGTTAGGTAGGTTAGGTAGTTGAAAAACAATTAATTCAAGAAAACTTGGCTTATTAGGCAAATTGGGCCTTGCATTGTAGGCTGAGAAGTGCGTTCTGGCTACTAGGTACGACATATATATATATATATATATATATATATATATATATATATATATATATTATATATATATATATATATATATATATATATATATATATATATATATATATATATATATATATATATATATATATATATATATACAACAAAACAAGGCAAAATGGGAGTAAATAAACAAATTTGTGGCCACTGTAACAACTCCTTAAAGTCGAAGGCAACGGGAATTGAGTGTTATATCTGTAAGAATAGATTTCATTCGGCTTGTACAGGAGTGAGTAACACTACGGCACTGAGAGCTGGCCACTTGCTCTGGGTGTGTAAAAATGACCTGCCAGCTTGGAATATCCTAAAAAACCTTCTAGATAACATGACGCATGAACGGAAAACATTGTTCATTGAAAGCCTACCAGCCATCCAAAAGGAGTGGAAAAGGAACAACAATAATTCTAATATACCAGGGGCGGAGGCTATAGTCAGGGATGAAACTGAGGCTGAAACTCAGGAAGTTGTAAACTCTGACTCAGTAGGCCCGGATGTAGATGACAGTAAACTAGAAAGTGTAACAGACAGCACTGACAGCTCGATAGGTACAGACACTAACGAACCATACTGGAGGCCCAGTATGGAGACGAACCTCATAACAAACCCAGTTTGG